GCCATTCATTGGAAAGGCTTAGGCCTTTAGGTAACTTAAATCCTATGTTTGCAGGGTGATGCTGGTTTGACTGGTCGGAAGATAATTGTGGACACTTACGGTGGTTGGGGAGCTCATGGAGGAGGTGCCTTTTCAGGAAAGGATTACACCAAAGTGGACCGTTCGGCTGCATATGCTGCCCGTTGGGTGGCAAAATCTCTTGTTAAAGGAGGTCTTTGCAGAAGGGTTCTTGTTCAGGTATTTATATTCTTCTATAAACAACTAGTGTGGTTTTTAAAATTATAAGGGGAGTGGAGGGATATGTATAGCAGTGTATTCTAGCAACTGTTTGCATCTTTTTTGTTCACTGGCTCATGACATTTTAATTCTTTCAGGTCTCTTATGCTATCGGAGTTTCTCACCCATTATCTATCTCCATTTTCCATTATGGCACTTCTCAGAAGAGTGAGAGAGAGCTATTAGAGATTGTGAAGAAGAATTTTGACCTCCGCCCTGGGGTCATTGTCAGGTAAAGATGGTAAAAAGTCTATTGCTAGTGTAAACACGTTAGGGTGTGGGTTTATATATGCTAGTAAAATTGAGGAGCTGGAACAGAAGAATAACTCCTGAGGGGAAAACTTTTTTTATTTCCACACTGGACTTTTTAGAACCATAATGTTATGCTTCAAGTTGCTTTTAAGTGAAAGATTAACTTAGAAAATAAAAAACTTTAGTGTTCCATGTCTTCAGACAAACTAGCCAAGAAAATCCTACATGTTTAATAGAGGCCTTTGTGCTACTGAGGACTTTTCATTTGGCACTGCTCTAAAAGGTGGTTCTAGATGGTTTTTTAAATATCCATGTAGAGTGGGGCAGTGGGACATTGGTAAGTATTCCATGATCTTAGATAAGCTTTTGACAGTTGAAATTCCTCAGGATAATTACAGCTTTCAACACCAGGGAAGTAACAAACACTTTTGCCACAAACTTTTTTCCTAGCATATCCCAGTGAACTGAACTCATTTGCCAGAGCTCTTGAAAATGAGTCTTGCTGATTGTTTTGCTTTATTTTAAATGAATGCTACATATTAAGTTACGGACTTGTATATTCCAGGGATCTGGATCTGAAGAAGCCAATTTATCAGAGGACTGCAGCCTATGGCCACTTTGGTAGGGACAGCTTCCCATGGGAAGTGCCCAAAAAACTTAAATACTGAAAAAGTGTTAGCCTTTTTTCCCCAGACTTGTTGGCGTAGGCTACAGAGAAGCCTTCAAGCTCTGAGGGAAAGGGCCCCTCTTCCTAAATTTTCCTGTCCTCTTTCAGCTCCTGATCAGTTGCAGTCACTCTGGTCAATAACGTGAATTTAGCTTTTGTGGGGGACTGTAAACTGGGCTTGTTATTCTGTCCCTGGTGTTTTGTTCACCATTTTAATGAATTTAGTGAGCATAGGTGATCCATATAACTGCCTAGAAACAGACAACACTGTAGTAAATAATGCTTTGAAATTGAGCCTTTGTGCCCTACCACCCAACCGTCTAAAATCCTAATGGCATTTTCTTAACCCACAAAATGCGGAGGGGAAAAAAGTCCTTGTAATGTGCACGTAAAGTACTCGTAGTTCCATTATATAGCTTCTGTCTGGCAATGCCATAGCTCTGTCAGCATGAATTTGTAATGTCTTGAGCTATATTATGAATGTGAAGCCTTCCCTATCCTCCTAACTTGATTAATTTCAAATTATGTAGTTTTCGTCAGGGAGTGTCCCCTATCCAATCAGTCTTACATGTAGCGCAAGTTCCAGTTGGAGTTCTAGCCTGACGTGAAGAAAAGGCAGTTACCATTAAACCATCTCCCTGGTGCTTATGCTCTTAATTGCCACCTCTCTAAATAGCACCAAATCAAAATCTCTCCACTTTAAACTGTCTTTTGGAGGACGTACGTAATAAGGTTTTTATTTAGTAAACCAACCCTATGCATGGTTTCAGCACTAGCCAAACCTCACCAACTCTTAGTTCTAGGGAAACAGGCACTTGGCACCCTTGTGACGTCACAGGGTAGTACCTAAGGGTCTGTAGGTTGCACACTTTGGTACCAGATAATTTTTTTTTTCTTTATAAGAAAGAGTACTCAAGAGTACTCAACACTGCACAATAACTCCTCCCAGGGTTTTAACTTTGTTTTGTTTTCAAAACCAGGTCCAATGATCTTTCTGAACAGCTGGTGTAGCTACAGAGAAACCAGCTTCCTTCAGAGAGCAGTGCTTTTGGCGGGGAGGAGGAAATCCCTTCATACTTGAACATTTTCTAATTGCTTATTTATTGTATTCTGGGGTATGGCGTAAGTACAGAGAAGCCATCACCTCAGATGGCAGCTTTTACAAGATTTTTTTTTTCTTCTCAACACCATGATTCCTTTAATATGTTTCCAGCATTCCCAGGTAGGCCAAGGTGTCCTACAGAAAAACCTTGGGTTAGACCTACACAGGGGGTCTGGCTGGTGTTAACAGAAGGGAGGGCAGAGCTGGTGCGGCTGGCCATGGAGGAAGCTGACTTGGCTGGTGTGGTACAGAGAAGCCAGCTTGTTTACATGCTTATTCCATGACTGCCTGCCCTAAGCAGAAAGTGCCTTTCAGGATCTATTTTTGGAGGTTTATTACGTATGTCTGGTTCTCAATTCCAACAGTTAAATGAAGATCTAAATAAAATGCTAGGTTCTACCTTAACCACTGTCTCTTATTCTTTCTAGTGTTTTGATATTTCAAAACATTGTATATGCACTTTTAACTCTTGAGTTATTTCTTTAATCCTTCCTGTAGCTCAGGGAAATAACTGACTGACCCAATTAAGCAGGTTATAACTCTCAAGATCCTCTGCCACTAAGAAGAAAGCTTGTCTGCATTGCTTTTGGGTTGATGATGCATTAGCCAAAGTTCAAATCATCTTATTGCAGCACTTAAGTCCTCATGTATTGTCAATAACCTGTTGCCCCTGGTTTACATGGTAAGTCTTAGTGAAGGATGCCTTGGAGAGCGTGGTGCTGGAAATGACATTACATTTATTAGATTATGTATAAAGTCAGTGGAAAAAGCCACATTGAGTTTCCAAAAGATTATATATAGATTTATCCCTAGAAGTTTGTAGGGGTCTATCCATTATAGAAAACACTAAACAAAGATTCTTTTTTTTTTCCTTTTAAATTTTTTTAATTATTTTTGTGTGAGTGTACCATCAAATCAGATCTGACTGATATAGGAGGAGATTGACCCTCCTTCCCCGGCAGAGCATCTGGTGTATTGGAACCGTTGCACCTCTACAATTGTAGTTGCAGCTCCTTACCACTAGGCCACCAGAGCTCCCTTAAACAAAGATTCTTAACCACCAGACCTATAGGCAATATAATGATGGGTGGAGAAGAGCAAAACTGTCAACATCTTGTTTGGATCCACAATTAATACCAGCAGACAGGAAATGAGACACATTGCACTGGGGAAATCTGCAGTTAGGAACCTCTAAAGTCATGATTCAGTCTTGCTAGTCACTTGCTGTGTATCTGAGAGCTGGACAGTTAGGATAAAAGAATGGATGCCTTTGAGCTGTGGTGTTGGAAAAGAATACTGAACTACCAAAAGAACAAACATCTTAAAGAGAGTACAAACAGAGTGCTTGCTCTTTGGAGGTTTCACTTTGGGTGTATTGCTAAGAAGGGCTATTCCTTGGACATGATTCTAGGAAGGTTGAAGGGTGTGAAGGAGAGGAAGACCCTAGACCAGGTGGACTGACACAGTGACAGCCACAATAGGCTCTAGTCAGGAAGTCTGAGAATGGCATGGCATAGAATAAGGTTTAGTGATTCTACTTTTTGCCTCCTAAAAATCCTGAGACTAGAGTTAAAAACAATCTGGATATACATGACACTAAACACCTAGACCCTCAAAGTGCAAAAAATGCAATATGTAAATCACCTGATACTTTATTAATTTTAATGAAAATTTACAGACTTTGGATTTCCATTCATTGTTGCACTTTTCTCCCTGCCTACCCCTCCCCCCACTTTGCTCTTCTCTTTGAAGTTCTTCTTACATTGTTCTACAATCCCTCCCCAAGTCCACTCCACTAAGCAGCCAAGAATCACCTGATATCTTTACTTAATTCCTTACTGGGTAGAAACACCAGTTCTCTACAGTAAATTAAAATGGTTTGAAACCTGGTCCAACATGAAGAGGACTTCAGTGCATTTGCCAGATATGGAATATGATCACATTAAAAATGAACAGCATATCCTTAAAAAGAATGTTCTAAATTGTTTAAGGGGAAGAAAATCACAGAATTTGCCTAATGACAAAAAAATTGGCTCAAAAGGCTGATTGAAGTCACCTTTGCACATCAGAATTTACTATGGCTGCAAGCACACCCCCTTTTCCTAAAGTTTTGTTGCATTTCACTGCAAACTAGGATAGTAGGTAATGTATTTATTTAACTGGTGAAAAACAGGCTGTATGGGTAAGTGAATCAGCTCCACTCCAGTGGATTTCCAGCTGTAGATTGCACTGGATAGAACTGCCAATCCAGTGGAGCAGCTGGTGAATTTGAACTACATCTAAGTTTGTAGCAAGTTTATCACTAGGCCACGAGAGCTCCCTCTCTACCTCTAGAACTTTATTGATCATAATCTTTTAACCCAAAGCAAGAGCTTTAAACTCCATCCTGTAATTATAAGTGATTCTGGCAAAAGTAGGGCATTTTGACAAATTTTTATAAAGTAAGACTGATGGCTAATAAGGATTGAAAGGTGGTCAGGTGCACTTGACATTTCTCTAAGGAGGCATTTTTCCCTTTTAGGTCACATTGTTCATGTCCCAGGGGAATAGTCTTTCCTTGGTCCCATCTAAGCTCTCATCAAAGAACTGGGATAGAGGGGTGAGGGGGAGCTATGAGTAAGAAAAATATAAAAACACTGCAATACATTTTTAAACATAGCCACTGCACAAGTAATGGCAGATTACATGTTATCTATGGCGAACTCAGAGCTCTGAGTGAACCAGGTCAGGGGCTGACTCCAGATCAGGATTTGAAGAAGCAATGTTTGGATGACACACTTCTTCAGCTGGTTCAAAGGGCCGCAAGTTTGCATAAGTCACTTCTTGGGCTAGCTGCTCAAGGGAAGGGCGTCCTAGGGCCAGATTTCGAAGTGAGATACAAGTCATGAAGAAGCTGAAAAAGAAGTCACCTTTCAAACTGTCAATCCAGGAATTCCTGCCAAGCACAGGAATTGCACCAGTGAGCCCCAACATGCCAGCAAGAAAGCCAAGCCCACTCTTTTTTTTATAGTCTTAGAGGATTCCAGAACAGACAAGTGTGAGGAGTGTGGAGGTAACACAGAAGAGCAAGCCAATGAAAACCATTCTTAAGAGATTGATGGAAAACAGCAAAAAAAACACTTTGCTAATGGAAGAGCCTAGTTTCCTCTGTTACCCAGTGTAAACACTGGATGGCAATGGCTTTTGAAGGTGATACTCACCTACGGCGAAAGACATAGAATTTTCGAAGCAAGAAGCGGACAACACGCTCATGGAAAGGGGTATTTCGCCGGCGTTCAATCTCCTGGAGCCTTTGCTGGCGTCGAAGAAAAGTCTGAACCAGAGGTGTTGGTTCTGGGCCTCCTTTGACTATACCTTCCAGCAGAGGTTGCAGCTCTGGCGGTAGAGGTCTTGTTTCTGCCAGAAGATGGCAAAAAGAATCCTGAAAAGATGACTCTCCATGTCACCGGGAACTACGTCAGTCTAAATCGTAGCATACTCACCACTTCCATTCTCCACCTTCTCCTTTAGTTCCTGCAGATGTGCGAGGTCTTGCTCCAGTGTAAGCTCTGTAGTGTTAACATAGATGTACATGTAGCAGGAAGGACTGGGAGACGTTGTATATACCTTGTGGTACTCACCAGCAGGCAGCTGACAAGGGGAGGAAAGATCTCTTTAATTCTGTAAACTTTCTCCAGCCAGCCCACAAGTTCCTTAGTCTAGTCTTCTGCCATCTTCTTGCTGTGTTGGAGGCTGAGGTCATCTAAAAAGCCCAGATGGCAAGCTTTTGCTACTTTTGAGCCTACACTACATTAACTGCTATGATAATGCATTTCAAGTTTGTAATAAATAGAAACTTTCTGTCACTTTTTTTTTTACCTGCATTTTCTCTCCCTCCTGAAGAGTGTGGTTCTTCTGTTCAGCCACCAGCTCCACAATCACTTCTCCCTGTAGCAACTGGATGCTAGTGTTGCCCAGGTCTTCACTCACAAAATTCTCCAGATGCAGCCCTGACAGGGGCAACAGTGTTCACCAGACCACCTCACCACAGGGAATACACTTCCAGCGAGAAAAGACATTACATGTAGCCCCAAACCACAGCAAAGACTCCTCCATACCAGGGAAATCTGCAATGAAGACCACCTCAGTGTGGTTGTCCAGACTGTCCTTGATCTCCTGCAATTTGGTCCTCCAGGGAGACAGGTCCATCAGGAGTGGCTGTAGCCAGGATGTGCGCTGGAAGGGGGACCAGGCGGCCTGCACAATGTCCACACGAGGGTCAAAAAGCCTGAAAAAAAAAAGTTCTAAGGAGGCGAGATATCCACCTGCCAGGAATTCCGCTTTGTTCCTTTCATCACGGTTTCCATGTACAGGGAGCAGAGTTTCCAAAGAGAAGAAATTCTTTTGTGTCAGCGTATCACTGCTATTCCAAGGCAAAAAAAGAGAGCGAGGGAAAGAGTTTTAGAACACTGAGAAGAATGGGGGTTAGTGGCTACCTAGAAGGCATCTGGTTAACATTTCTAAAAGTGCAAGTGAACTTTTCTTCTGGGTGATGGTGCCCCCTGCTGGAAGCAATCGACTATGCCCACAACCAAATGGACAGACATGCATCAGGACAGCCTTTAAAGCAAAACAATACTGGGAAGCATGGGCTATTCTGCCCCTTGTCCGCTCCTGTTGCCCACCTCTGCTGGAAGCGGTCATTGATGGAGACCCAAATATCAAAGTAGATCTGGGGCTCAGTGACATTGTACTTGGGAAGCAGGCGGCTCAGGCAAGTGGCATATTGCTTCAACATATCTGCGTGATCCTTCCATCGTCGGCTCTGTGTGAACACCTGCCCCAAACCCACATATTAGTGCCACTTTGTCATCACCAACCTCCTAGGCAGCCCGTACATACACTGCTGGCAGAGATCCTTGCCTGCTGCCCATTCTGGGCAGAAGAAAACGGCCCCTGTTTTGGGGAATCATTTTGTCATGGTTGGGCTTCTGGTACTTATCCTTCCTAATTGAGGGGCTGGGGGGGGGGGAGATGTAAAAACATTATATATCATAAAAGTTGACATTTAAAACCACTTTTACATATAAAATTCAAAAGCACTGATTCCATCCATACTGTTGTACAACTTTCACCATTATTTACTTCTAAAACCTTTTAACACCCCAAACAGAAACTCTACTCATTAAGCAGTAATTCTTAGTCCTCACCTTCTCCCAGCCCCTAAAAACTTCTAATCTCCTGTCTTTATGTATTTACTTATTCTAGATACTTTAAGTAAGTGAAATTATACATTTGTTCTTTTATGCCTGACTTGACTCAGCATAATGCTTTCAAGGTTCAGCCACGCTGGAGCACACAACAGAATTCCATTCCTTTTTATGGCTGGTAGCCTACTGGCAAGAAGCTGCACTGCAATCCCGAAGATATGTGGTTTGAGGCCACCAGCTGCTCTGCAGGAGGATGGGAAATCTCCTGTGCAATTGACTGCCTCTGAAAATCCGCCAGAGGGTCAGCTATAAATTGGTTCTGCTTCTATGGTACACAACAACAGTATCCCACTAAGTGGAATATCTTATTTTCAGTGTATCCATGCATCTGCTGATCAACATGTAACTTCTTTCCACCTTTGGGTAGAAGGCTTCTAATATCATTCCTAAATCTGAAGACAGACCTACAGCACAAGAATATGAGTGCCACTGCCCTATCTTAACCTACTTAGGGGGGTGGGGTAGGGAGGGTTCAACCTGGCTGTGGGGAAAGAACAGATGCATCCAAATTTGCTGACTTTATGGTATGGACCAAACCAGGGGCTCTGAAGAATAGTCCAGTTGTCAGCATCAGCTGTCTCACCCCAGGATTAAGGTAGCCGAGCTCGCCCGTGCGGCCATCACGGTAGGTTATCTTCACATGCTGGTGGGAGCGGGAGTATACCATCATGTCCCAAGAATAGCCATACAGCCCATTGGTCCAGTTGTTATAGCCCTGAGAAGGCAGAGCAGAGAGGGTCACTAGGACAGTAATAACTGTCATATTAACATTATTTTCTACCAAGACAGGGCTATAAAATCAGCCCTATTCTTTCCCTATTGCAGTCACCTCTACCACCAACAAGCCTAGACCCAGCCTCTATATACCTGGGTGAGGAAATGGGAATATGGCAAGAAAAGCTGTTCCAGAAGGTAGAGCAGGGTGAAGGCAGCACCCAGTTGATGGCGCAGCCTCAGCTTCTGGCCACCTTTGGCCCGGCTCCTCTTATACACACAGGAAACACTGGGCTGAGGAGCAGCCCGGAGGGGCAGCAACTCTTGCAGCCTTTTGGGACAGTGGGATACCAGCTTCCGAGGCCACTCAGGGGAGCAGAAGAGAGGGCTGCTGGCCAGCATGACATAGGAAAACATACCTAGGTAAGCAGAGAGAAAATATGCACTTCAGTAGCTGGGGTAGACAGAGCAAGGATAACCCCTTCACCCCACTTCCTTGAGGAAGCCTCGGCCAGGTGTTCCATTCAGGAGAGTTCTTAAGTCTCAGACCTTATACTTCCCAGACTCCTTACATCACATGCTGTCCCAATCTTCTCATCGTTATTTAATCCCATTTCATAATAATCACATCAGATTCTGTTTAGTTCTCCCTCCAGGACATCTCACACTCCCAAATAATGCTTCCGGCTAGTCCCCTGCTGCCAGCCTATGGTTCTTGTTTCCTACCTGACCACAGGTACTGACCAATGTGGAAAAGCTGGGAATTCATGCAGTGGAAGTAGGATACAAAGAAAAGGCCAATGGGTCTTGAGGCATCAAAGAAGAGCAGGAAGCCCGCAGAAAGGTCAAGCAGCAGCCCACACCAGTGCACCACCAGCAGGCTGGTCATCTCCTCCGACAGCACCAGTCTACAGAGACCAGGGACAAAGGTCAGGCAACAGCCTGCTTGAGAAGCCCTCACAGAACATTCGCAGTAAAACAGACCTCTGTTTCCTTATCAGGTCCTTATTTGTTGTCCCAGGATTCGCTGAGCCTAAAAACATGGTAGCATTTCCTTGAGCCTTTTCATTTACATATACTGTGTGTGAATTTTCCCAGCACACCCTAGCCAATAATCAAGGGCAGGTCTCCAAGGACAAAACTAGTGAAGTGTGTGTGGCTAGGTTCCTCAAAGAGATCAAACTTTAAAAGGTAAATGCTTACCAAACATAGTACCAAGGAGCTGAGAAATGATGGAAAAGACCCATGTAAAACAAGAAGAAAGACGAGAAGGGGGGAGAGGATAAGAGGCAAGATGGACCTCTGTTGTGTAAAGAGTTGGTAATAATGTGCTACCAGCATAGGAACCTGATGAGGGGCTTAGCCACGTCAAGGACACAGACGTCTTCCCTGGCCAGCTGCTGGAGCCCTGACACGTTCACCAAGACACCTACCATGCTTCTTTGCCTTGCTTTTTCCGCCTCTTTCCTGCCAATACCATAGTTCTCCCAAGGGCACTCAGAACGCTGTTGCTGGCCCTACCATCTGCTCAACACGGAGAAGAGGAGTGGATAGAGAAGGGTATGTGAGAACTTAAAGTAGGAACAGCAGCCGCTGCTGCAGACTTGCGGGGGCTGAGGGGACTGCTCTGTCCATACTGGCGCCCCCATGAGCCTCCACCTTGACAGCCACTCACTTGAACGGACTGAAGAGCCAGTGCTGGGACAGGTAATCCATGGAGTAACCTCCCACCCAGTCTGCATCCAGCTTTTTCACCCCAGCAATAAAGTACACAATGAAGATCTGCAAAGATGAAATGCAAATGAGTATTTAAATATACAAAAGGAGAACCTTATTTCCTACAGGCAATCAAGAATACTGAGTTCTGACATTCATGCAGATAGTCATTCATTCAACAAGTATGTGCCAATATGCTACCAATGCCAGGCCCAGTAGTAGGCTCCAGAGCAAAAGCTATGAACTACAAATATGACCATTTCTCATATGAGGACTCTAATGCCGCAAGGACAGCTGTATCCTTGCCACAGTGAGATGACAGAATGCAGAATTAAGTAAGTAAAGGAAAAGTCGAGCTTTCCAGCAAAATAGAAGCAGGCTGGTATGACAGCTGTCAAAGAGAACAGCCCTCTGTAGGAAGCCCATACCTGGCCACGCAGCACTGCATAGTTCCACAGGGGCACCTGGGCATTCCTCCTGGTGGCACTCAGCAGACCATCCACAGACCTGCACCAAGGCAAGTAAGAAGCTTCTTGGTCTGGCCATATTCCCACCTTTCCTTTGGAATGTGGTAATGCTGTCTATCCTGGGAATGAATCTCACGCCCTTCTTGATTCTCTGAGCTAAGCTGAAGTTCTTGAGAATTAATTCTCTGAGCAAACTGTAAGAGGCATTACTTTAAGTTATGGGAAAAATTAAATTAATAAGTTATAAAACAAAAAGTTCAGTATGTACAAGTCAGCGAACAAAGGCGTTTGTCCTAAGTAACTTAATGCAGGGGGGAAAAGGATTACATACAATGTTAGAAGATAAGTGAAGAAGGGAGTTGATTTAAGGGAATGTTTGAAAAGCTAAAGGAGACCACAACAATGGGCACATGATATGAACAGACACTTCACCAAAGAAGACATTCAGATGGCAAACATATGAAGAAATGTTCAAAATCCCCAGCGCTAAAAGAGATGTAAATCAAAACAACTATGAGATATCATCTCACCTCAGTAAGAATAGCAGAATTTAACAGAACAGAAAACAACAAATGCAAGGTTGTGGAGAAACTGGATCCCTTAGTCACGGTTGGTGGGAGTGTAAAACGGTGCCACTAAGGCAGTATGGCGCTAAAAGTCAGGGATAGCAGCTCAACAGCTGGGAGGGGTTTGTTATCAATAAGCAGAAGCCCTAGTGGTGAATGTTTAAGCACGTAGCTGCTAACTGAAGGGTCAACCATTTGAATCCACAAGCTGCTCTGCAGGCAAAAGATAGGCCATCTGCTTCCATAAAGATTACAGCCTTGGTGAATAATGCAGCAGTATACATGAGTGTGCATACATCTGTTTGAGTTGTGGTTCTGGTTTCCTTAGGGTATATTCCCATTAGTGAAATCGCTGGGTCAATTCTATTTCCAACTTTTTGAGAAAGCGCCAGACTACCTCTCATAGTAGTTGCACCATTTTATACTCCCACCAGCAGTGAATAAGAGTTCCAATCTCTCCACAACCTCAGCAGCATTTGTTGCTTGCTGCTCTGTTGAACTTTGCTGTAACAAAGAGATGGAAGCAACTCAAGTACCCATGAACAAACAAAGAGAAAAACTATGGTACATCCACATAATGGAATGCTATACACTACTGAAAAACAATGATAGTAAAACATTACACCACATGAGGGAGCCTGAAGGACATTATGCTAAGTGAAATATCTCAGTCACAAAAGGACAAATACTGTATAACCCCACTGTTATACAGATCTTTGTGAAGACCCTGATTGGAAATACCATCACTCTTTAGGTTGAGTCCAGTTACTCTACCAAGAATGTGAAAGCTAAAATCCAAGACAAGAAGGGCATCCCCCCCTGACCAGCAGCACCTGATATTTGCAGGAATATGGCTAGAATGGTCGTACGCTGACTACAACATCCAGAAAGTGTCCACCCTGCACCTGTGTTTCGCCTGCTGAACCTTCCTTGTCCCAGCTAGCCCAGAAGTGTGAGACAAGATGATCTGCCACCAGTATTACAGTTCTGCTTGCCTGCATCCCAAATTGCCATGAGAAGAGTGGGAACATCAACAACTTGCACCCCAAGAAGTAGGTCAAATAAGAGCACCCTCTTCACTGGCTCACTTGGCAGGTGGCCTCCCTTGAGGCCCTCAATAAAGTCTCTCTTTCACTGAAAAAAAAAATGCCAGACATGGGGGTGCTAGGACAGGAATGGGGAAAGAGATAATGAATACTGCATTAGAACAGATGAGGGGGGAAAACTGAAAGGGATATATGATTATGCATTATCACATATGAGAACAATCTGGAACAAGAGGAGCACTGCAATATGGTCTTGAGAAGGAAGAGGGGACAGAAGAAGTGCAACAACAAATTAAAAAAAGAGAGTATGCAACAATGAATGAATGAAAACCCAAAATCTCTGTAAATGTTCATTAAAACTAATAAAATTTAATAAAAAAAATAAAAAAAAGAGAGTAAAAAAGATTACAGCCTCAGAAACCATAAGGGTCAGCTCCATCCTACAGGGTCAACGTGGGTTGAAACTGACTCAACAGCAACAGGTTTGGTTTTTAAGAATAAAGAATAATGAGGAAAAACTCAAGACCTAAATCTCGAACAAATGTAGTATCTGAGATTTTTTTTTCCTGTACCTATCTTACTGACATGTCATCTCTTCACCCCAGAAATTTTTATTGTCTTTACCAGTTATTTTTATCTTCTAGCTTTCTTCATATCTGCTTTTCATTTAACAATAAAAAACAAACAAACATCTGATCCGTCACCCTGCTTCCAAACCCCGTGACCACCTCCCCTCTGAAATGGTCACCTAAGCCCATGATGAGCGGACACCTCTGGCCAGAACGGCATAGTCTAGCAGTTGAGTCCCCTCCTTCTCACCGCATACCTGCTTCACTGTAACGTCTGTCACTGGCTCTATTCCACTCCTTTTGACTCCTACAGAGAAAGTCTGTTCCCACTTCCACACGACCACCCTTCATATATGTTAGAACAACCAGTTCTGGCTTTAGTCTCCACTTCATCTAAGAAGGGGACAGGAAGTAGAAAAATCAAAATACATGAGGAGATATGGAAGGATGAAGAGCTTGGAAGGGACCCGTTTTGCTTTGTGCCATTCTAAATACTCCAACCTGGTTGTCCCTCCTCCCTCTCAAATCCAGCCATGTTAAAATATGACTTTGTCAAATTAAAATATGACACACAGCAAAAGCATAGTTGAAAATGTACTTGCTGTGGAAACTCAAGGACCTCACTAAGCCTCAATCTCTGGCAGCCATCCCAACCCAGCCAACACTCCTCTTATCCCTGCCCAGATACATACCAATAGCGGTTTGCATCCACGAACATCAGCTGAAAGGCAATCAAACCATACAGGTAGGAATGGTTGTTCCATGACGTCTTGTCCAGGAGAAACACATACCAATATGGCAGCAGGAACAACACACAGCTTAGCCGGTAGCACAGGCCCAGCATCACGCCCAGCGCTCCTGAGATTTATAGAAGAGAAATGAGAGGTCAATGAGGTTACAACAGACCCAGATTCTCTGGGCTATGCTGTGAGTGTGATTAAGAAGTCACCAGGCATTTCATAATCAGCTAAAATCAAATTAAACTCAAATGTTATTTTAACAAAAGGTCACAGTTCAAATGACCCCATAGCATTATGTCAAAGCAGACACAAAACAAGGAGCGCAAGACTTCAGTCATTCCCCAGCACACTTTGTATTTCTGTGTTATAGGCAGACAAGTTAAGATTCTCTTACAGTGGGCCTCACCCAGAAACATGATGGTGTAAACGAGATACATCCAGTCAAGTGGCAACGGTTGCAGGGTATCCAGCAAGGGGAAGCGGCACACCTCTAGCCCATCCAGGTATTTGCGGTCCAGGGAGCTGAGCCCTCGCTCCTGGGGAATGTCCAGTGCCATCAACAGCCCTGAGATGGTAATGAGGGAGTGGGTTAAGCTTCAGCCAAGTGGTGATGGTTGTAGTTATTAGAGTTGGAACAGACCCATACTGACCCTCCAGTGGATTTTCAGAGGTAGTAAATGGAACAAGAGACTTCCCATTCTTCTACTAAAAAGCAGCTGGTGGATTCGAACCATGTGCCACTAGGGTTGCAGTACAGCTTCAGACCATGAGGGCCTAAACCCCCTAATGACTGAGTAGGACCATGAAGATGAGGGGCTTGTTGCCTACTAAGGTAACTGAACAGCTTTCTAATAATGCCAAGGTGCATGACACCATTGTGGGGTCGGGACCATGCAAATAGGTGCATGGAACCCTAGGGTACAACAATAGTGTCAAGGGAGTTCTGGTGACGTAGTCTGTAGGGAGTAGTGCTCTTAACCCAGAACAGGGTCAGGCAAGTGTCTTTTCTAAGCCTCGCCCTACCAATTAGTCACTCATTCAACAATAACTACTGAGTCTGTGTGACTACAATCACTGGGCTAATCCCCCATTTGTGAAAAGAAAACACAGACTCCAACTCATAACTCAGCCCCAGGAGCAGGGCAGAACTGCCCCACAGGGTTTCTGCAGCCAAAAATTTTTTTTTTAATTAATTTTTATTTCTATTAATAGTTTCACTTACATTATGTTTCATTCATTTAGAATGATGGGGGGGGGGGCCAAATCTTTGGCCTCTGTTCCTTCTGAACAGCTTTGAACCACCAACCCCGCGAGCAATCCTACATGTCAAGCACACTACTACGAGGGCTCCTCTCACAGTAAGGGCTAAATCAGAGGAATGGACAAAATACTGCAAAAATCATTAAGAGTTTCAACAGTTATATTTAAAAAGGTCTGTTCTATTAGACTATACAGAGTGCTGTTGGGTGCTTTCCACTCTTTCTGCTTCCTGGAATATTCAGAAAACAGTACTATTTGGACATTCAGGAGTAAACACAAAAGCTCATTCAGGTCAGGAAGCCAGTTAGGACAGGATTTCTCAACCTCTGGACTATTCACATTTTAAGTTAGATAATTCTTTGTTAGTGAGCCCTGGTGGCCCAGTTATTAAGCAATTGGCTACATACTGAAAGGTCAGTGGTTCAAAGCCACCAGCATCTCCATGGGAGAAAAGGTGTTCATCAAGTTGACTCTAACTCATGGTGACGTTCCATTAAGTGTCCAAGGCTGGAAATCTTTAGAGGAGACTGCTCATCTTTCTCCCATGGAACAGCTGCAAGATTTGAAACACTGACTTTCCAGTTAGCAGCTCAACCCATAATGCATTATGGCAGCAAGGCTCCTTCCTATAAAGATTACAGACTGGGAAACCCGATAGGGCAATTCTACTCTGTCCTACAGAGTTCTCATGAGCTGGAGTCAACTCAACAGAAACAAGTACATCTCTGTTGAGAGAGGTGATCCCTTATATAAGGTTGTTGTTTCAGGCCATGGAGTCTAATCCAACACATAATAGCTAACACTCCAGAGAGTTTTCAGAGGCTGTAAGGTGCACAGGAGGAGACTTCCCATCTATCTCCCAAGGAGCAGCTGGTGGATTCAAACCGCAGATCTTTGTGTTGGCAGGGGAACTCCTTACCACTGTTGGTCTTGTTGCAGGCTACCAGATAATTAGCACTATCTCTATCCCTACACAGATGCCAACAGTTCCCATTATAACAATGAAAAAATGCTCCCAAACAATGACAACTCTCCCCTAGAAACAAAACTATACCCAGTCAAAAACCACTAGGGAACCACAGGGGAAAAATGGCTGGCCCCAGTCACTCCTGCCCAGTTTCTCTAAAGTACCTATTACACTGGGCACTTCATGCCACAATCAAAATGGGACCTGCTATTCTGAATCTGTATTTCCTTTTGCCACAGATCAAAGCATTCCATCCACCAAACCCAAATAGGAGGATGCATAGCAGGGCTTGAGACTAAATTCCACAAAGACTTTTTTTCATTTTATCAGTATCTTTTTGGGGGAAAGGGAGATTAAAAACACCAAGTAACCATTATATGCATGAGTGACTATGGTCAGTCTCCCCAACTGAACTAACCCCTCCCAGACACTGGACTTACCAAACAGAAAGCGGAAGACGGCCAAACCTGCAGGGTCGGTGGGTCGATTCAACAGGGTCACCAGCCTCCTCCAGCTAGACACATCTGCCCGCTCAAAGCCCAAGAGTTTCCCCATTCTGCTGCCCTGCCTTGGTTCTGAGGTCTGTCCAGCCTTATTCTTCTGTACTTTATCTGGAACCAATAGGGAAGATGTTTGCAAGTGTGCTTGCAGGTTTGTGGAGAGGCGCTTAAAAATCTCCAAAATCATCGTCCCACCAGCTCCAATACCCCGCCCACCGAGGTCTTCCGATCACACACTACCCGAAAACTCTCTGCAGTGAGCGTCCTCCCTCACTGCAATGCTCTGGACCCAAGCTCTAATGCTGCAGTGAGCCAACTTGGAAGCGCCCTGAGGGTCATCACAACCTCAACATCTCTCTCCTAACAAGCCTTGATCCCAGAAGGCAGTCCTTTCGTTCCCTCCCTATGAGATCAATGACTCTCTTTCCAAGGAGACAGCGGAGTTCTAAGCCTACCTGGGCCAGGACGGGACGGCGCGGACGCGGCGGGCACTGCCATGGCCACACGCGGACAGCGGGGCAGCAGCGACCGCGACTGACGGCGCAGCAGCCGCGAGAGGTCGCTCCACGGGTCCCGCCTCCTCGACACATCAGCACAAGCACGCCCAGCCGCAAAGTGCCGACACTGTCGTGAAGGGTCCGCAGCGCTTTCCGTCAACGAGTCGGAGCGGCTGGGTTTGCTGGTGCTCGCTGGGTCTGTTGGACTTTGCTCTCCTCCTGAGCTTTTGGGGACGCCTCTGCGCTTCCGCCCCAGGAAGCTCCCGAGCCCCTCCTGGTCCTCATTAGATGTCTTTCGTTGCCCGCTGGGTTGAGGACGCCCTTGAAAAGCTTGTCCTGAACCAGTATGGGGTCCAATCCTCTTCACTCTTCCTGTCCCTCTAAAGAACCCAGTTTTGAAAGAAGGGGGGGGGGCACAGAAGAACACCGCTATGGAGGAAATGTGAAGCCGTATGTGGTCTGTGTTGGGACTCTTAGTCTTGAATAAAATTGTAATACCCATTTCTGTGATTGGTAAGCCTCACCCTCCCTTGGCCCTCTACTTCTCCAAACGTCATGTCCTCCTGCCCTTGCTGATGGCATGTCCAGAACAAGCAAATAGGAGAATGTTTGTAATTGCCTAATATCCAGACAAATATCAACTCTGTTAGTCTACAAGCCCTAGTAAACCCTTTCTACCATGGCTGACCCTGTAGGTATTTGAAACACTGGCGACATAACTTGCAGCATCACAACAGGCAAGCCAGAGGAGAACAGACCATCAGTTGGGTGCTGGTAAAACTCAAATTCTTTGCCATGTGGTGAGAACTGACTGATAGTTGACCCTCCGTTAAGTTTCCCAGGCTGTAAAGTACTTGGGAGGAGACCGTTAATCTTTCACTGAGCAGCTAGTGGATTCAAACCACCAAAAGGCTGGCTTTGGGTTAGCAGCTCAACTCCCAGTGGGCCACCAGAACTCCCTCGGGTGATGGTAGGACTCTTTTACCCACAAGGTATATATTTACTTAAATCACATTTTCTTCTTGTTGCTGTTAGGTGCCTTCGAGTTGTAGATGACTCATAGCAACCCTATGAATGAAAGGCCTGAGCACTGCTGATACAGTTTCCAGAGGCAAGCCATTTCAGAAGTGGATGCCACTCCTGCTTGTTTTAATCGGGGAGTGCCACCAAACACTGTCTACCATCAGTAACCATTATCACATTTGGCACATCAGTGTCCCAGTGTTTAGCATCACAGCAACAACGAGTTACCTCTGTACAGCAATGCACAGACAAGTGCTATACCACCTAGAAGAATGTTTGACACAAAAACAATTTGGACCAGGCCTGAGGGCCGCATATTAAAATCACCCACCTTGGGTTTGGTAGCATAACTTTCTGTCCACTAGGCCAACGTAGCTCATTGTTATTGTTGTTGTTAGGTGTCTTTGAGTCGTAGACAACTGATAGAGACCCTATGAACAAAAGGCCTGAGCACTGTTCATAGAGTTTCAGAGGTAAGCCATCTTAGGAAAAATAAGTTTTATTTCCTAGGGGGATGTGGTGACCTAATGGTAAGGAGCTGTACTGCTATCTGAAAAGCATGTGGTTCGAACCCACTAGCCAAGTGAGGAGGATGGAAAACCTCTTCCCATGCATTTTTATTGCCTCTGAAGGGTTAGCAGTGAGTCAGTTCTGACTCAGTGGTATAAAACAATTCCCCAAAAGGAGGAAAATGATTTTTTTATAAATAAATCTCTGTAATGTCTGTTTACTTGAAGACAGTTTGATTGTCTTCACTGCTTCTGCATTCTGTTGTGAAATTAAGTTGTTGTTGTTGTTAGGGGCTGTCAAGTCCAGTACGAGTCATAGTGACCCTATGAACAAAATGTCTGAACCCTGTTCTATTTACTTGAAGACAGTTTGATTGTCTTCACTGCTTCTGCATTCTGTTGTGAAATTAAGTTGTTGTTGTTAGGGGCTGTCAAGTCCAGTACGAGTCATAGTGACCCTATGAACAAAATGTCTGAACCCTGTTCTATCTGGTGTCATCCACATACTTCCTGACACAAGAGCCATTGCAGCAGTCACTGGGTCAATCCACCTAGTAGAGTGTCTTCCACCCCTTGGCCTACCCTCCACCCTTCCCAGCATCAAGTCCCTCTCCCCTCCTAGCAACATGCCCAAAGTATGTGAGATGAAACCTCATCATTCTTGCCTCAAAATCAATTAAGTAAATGATGTAGAAGAAGGAAATCTGGCTTCTTAAATATTTAATTGGAAAAGGAAAAAGCACTCTAATAGTCTTTTCTGATAACTGAGGCCATTCTTTGATACCACACCTAAACAGGGCAAGTGATAAGTTTG